GCCACAAAACATGGAACCAGCAGGACAGCAGACGATGCTGGCCGGGAGCTTCAATTTCACCAGCTGCTGGCCCAAGTCAGACCACCTCCCGTGATACCTGCCCTGACACACTCGAGCAGAGTTCGCGTTCCGGTATCACTGAGCCTCGCCGTCTGCCCCTGCCCTGTTCTGCAGCAGTGACCAACACATGCACCACCTGAAATCATTTTGTGCAAAGTTGTCTCTTTCATCTGGGGGCCCAAAGTCAGCTACTGCCAGCAACCGATCCACCTGAAAAGGAAAACGCAAAGACTGAGGCATGGGCACCCACTCCTGCCAGGCCCACGGCTCGAATGCAGACTTCACACGTACTGCCCAAGCTGTTCCCTGGCTGGACTCCACATCATTCCTTTGGGGCCTTCCCAAATATTGGGGCCTCTTCATTAGCCCGTGCTTTCAAATGCCTTACTTTTTTTGTTTTTTTTAACATTTCACATTTTCTCTGAGAATGAGCAAAACTTTGTTAAAACTACATTTAAAACTTGTAAATGTTAGTCAAACTTATGGAGAAACCAGTGAAACACTAGTTGAATTAAATAACTAACATTTGCTGGTTTCTAATGTAGTACTGTAAAATGTCTTAGTTCTGCCACAGAATTTGTGTTCAGGAAAGTCACAAAGTTACAAGCCACAGAAGTTAGGAGCCGGGCTCCGCACTTGAGGGACCTAAACTAAAAATGGAAACTGCTTGTCAGCAGGGCAAGTGTGATGCTGTCCACGCCAGGGGCCACTGCCCGAAACTTCACCTCCTGTCCAGCTGCCTGCAGGGATGTCCTAACCAGGCAGAAAAGCATACACACAGGTTCTGCCTCCCAGCATGGACTGGCTTCAACACAGCACCTGCTTTCCCTCTCCAGTGACTGTTTCTGGAATGGTGGGACCCCCACCCCAGAGACGGGGGTGAGTCATAGGGTGTGACGCAGATGGAGGGATTGGGATTTGCGGCAGCAGCTGGACCAGAGGGTGCGGATGAATGCCATGCTGAGTGTCCTCAGGGCACACTTCCACACCTACACTGTTCTAGATTCTTGACAGCTGGCAATCACATTATCTGTCAAGGTTATTACTTGTGTAATGCTTTCAGTGTCACCCCTACAATGAGTAACAAAAGGAAAAATGTCAAATTAGGTATCTTTCTTCATGGAGCCAAATACTATCTAGTCCTATAGTGAATAACAGTTACCTAATTATAATACTGTATGTAATATTGTAAATGGTATTTGCTGGTTTTTGGTAAACTTTCTTAAGGTACAACATACCTTAGTAACTACCAAGGTTTTCCCAAGTAAACATATATATATATATATTTAAAAGGTACAACATACCTTAGTAACTACCAAGGTTTTCCCAAGTAAACATATATATATATATATATATTTACAGGTTTTTAACCTTTATAATTAACCTATCTCTAAAGCAAGAAAAGTAATGATAAAAGCACTTTAGCTACATCCCAGAATGCAGATCTCATAAGCCTTACGCTGTAAAATCACAGCAGACTGATCATCGTCGAGAGCAGGAATGAGGCGTACAGGCAAGCACAGGGGTACAGCAGTTCCAGCCACCTCGAGAGCACCAGAGCCTTACTTTTCATCTGTACCCTTCTTGGTGTTTTGGTTTTTTTTAAACCGTACGTTATCTTTTAAGTATTTACAAATTAACTTGAACGTAAAATTTTACTCAAATAAAAGCGTAGGTTATAAGAAGTCAATTGTTTAACAGCCCTACCTCAGCGAGAGCTGCATTTCCCTTGTCTTGCACAAACACTATAGGTGGCACATTCCTCAGGGTCTGCTGGGACATCAACAGGTGCCTGAAGAGAGAGAACACAGCCAGGACAGTCAGCAGAGAGGTGTGCTCAGATCAGGTGTCTGTAAGGATCTCAAAAGCTGCATTGAGAGAAGTAAAAACAATTGTGGTCGTGATGCACTGTGCACCCCTTTCTTGATGTGGCAGTTGGCTAAAGAGGACTTTTTTGTCATTTTTGAGTAGCACGATAAGCAGATCTCATCTCTTGCCTCATAGTGAGGTCATCACACATCTTGTTTCTAGCACCACCCATTGCTTGGGCACCAGGGCCTGGACACTAACAGCTTGTCCTCCATCCAGTGACATCCACTGGCACACTCCTCAGTACCCAGACACCAGGTGCAGAAACAACCTCTGTGTTACTTAGTCATGCAATACAAACACATGGGGTCACATCCAGGCACAGCACGTATGTCCAGTGAAAAATGGACCACAGATCTTTGGTTCACAGCTATGAAAAACTCTTGACATTAAACCGTGGGTGACCACAGAGCAGGGAAGACAGATGTTCAGCTCAACCTAATTTTCTGACTGCCTAAACATCAGAAAACAATGCTGCCTCTTCGGCACTGGTTAACACCTCCCATTTTCTTGTTTTTGGTGAAATGGACCACTCTTGATGCACAATTTCAGAGTCTCTTGGGGATTATGGTAACAGGTATCAGAGAGATGATGCAGGAAAGCTTGAGTAGATGGTATGTGAAAGTACTAGAAGTTTCTGTCTGAACCAAGTTCCACATGACTGACCTCTCAACATCTATCCCCTCCCCCTAATGAATGAATAAGCAGTTCTCCCACCATGGCTTCTGCACCTTCAGGGCAAACGTCAACACAGTGAGAGAGGTAAATACCATCTTAGTACTACTGAAATAGTTTTAACCTCACAAAGCCCCTGAAAGGATCTCTAATCCCTAAGGATCAAGGACCACAATTTGAGAAATCTGACCTAGATTATGGCTTACAAGAAAATGCATGTTATCGGGCCGGCCCAGTGGCGCACTGCTACAGTGCGCCGCTTGGGAAGCGCGGCGGCGCTCCCGCCCAGGGTTCGGATCCCACATACAGACTGGCCGCTCACTGGCTGAGCGAGGAGCGGGGGCAACACCGAGGG